TTGTTGATATAGACATCTCACCAAAACAATGCCATTTTAACCTGGCTGTTAACGATTTAACGGCCTAGTGATATAATTGAAACGAAAATCAAAGTTCAGTTCTATAATTGGTAAAATTGAAAGCTCGGTGGTATAAACAATATAATGCCTAGAGTTCGATGGTATCTAGTGTAGTTTACCCTATTTGTTATACTAACAGCAGCATAGTATAGATCTAATGTTCTATCTAATCGTTAAATACTTGAAGATTGGTATTGCATCAATAGTTTATCAATACACATATCTTGGTTATAATATCAACTGCCTAAATTTGACTAAAATTTCTAAAGTAGACCCTCAATCATGTGAAGTTGTGGTATGAACTCTAAACATATATTGGCTATCATTTAAGCCCCTATTTGTGATTGAAATATTATGAATGTCGTTTCTTGTTTGAAATCGAGTTATACATGGTTTCACTTAGTCAATGTGATATCACCGATTTGGTTCACGGTTAGATTGGATTGGGGGTGTTACACTTCAAGTTTATCTTCTTTTTTATCCCATTAAATTTGTCCCTTACTGACTTTTTTGTCATTTTTTTAACTTTGACTCATTATTATTAAAATTTTATTATTGATAAAAAATAAAAAATAAATATTTTTAAAATCTTAAATCAAGTAGTTTTTAAATATATATTTTATAAAATTTAATTGTTTAAAATATTTAACATAATCATGGTTAAAGTTTTAAATTATTGACTTTAAAAAAAATCAATAAGGACATATTTAGTGGGATAGAGGGAGTATTTTCTTCGATTATGGTTTTTGACATTTTTTGTAAGGTAAGTTTGAGATCTAGGGCTCATTCAAAAAAAATATTTTTTTGGAGGGGTGTCGAATATTGGAATTTTTTTTTTATCTAGGATTGTTTTTGCAAGGATTTCAATCTCAATTTTATAGAGGGGTTTAGGGTTTTTTTTATTAGGATGTTCAAAGTTCGGTTTAATCGAATTAAGTGATCGAACCAAAGTTTTCTTCGATTAATCGGTCGGTTAATTTTTGATTAGGTTGGATAGTGATTAAGGACTTTTCAGACTTCGTTACCGGTTAATTCTATTTGAAATCGGATAATTAACTAAATTTGAATTTGGGTACGGTTGGTTTATTGGTGGTGGAATTGGAGTGGTAGGGAAAACTATCAGTAGGAGGTTAGAGACAAAGAAGCAGGTAAAATTCGGGTAGAGAGATTTTGGATTCTGTATTTGAACCTTGGGCTTGGGTTCGGACAAATTTAAGTATATACACATATATCAAGTGAAAAATCTCTCTAATATTTCTCTCTTTGTTCCTATCTTCTTCTCTCATTCATTCTTTCATGAAATTAAGTAAATAAGTCTCATTCTTTCATGGACTGAAGTAAAAAAAATCTAAACTATATATTACATTTTCCCTTTGTATTCTTAAAATTTAAATTCATCGTCTAAATTTCTAATTTCAATTGATTTGTTATCTCAATTTCATCTATTTTACCAACAATTCTTTTCACCAAACTTACTTTTATCAATGTCTTCTTGTTTTATATTCTTAAGTCGATTTTGATTTCATAAATATGAATTATTTAAAATTTTAACATTTTTAAGTTTCAGTCCTCTATTTTTGCTCGAATCAGAACGAGTCGAGATAGATGAAAAGTCTTAAAAACTCAGATTCGGGACGAGTTTAGTTAAGATCATTTACTTTTCAGGTTAGAGTGCTAAAAAATCCGCACCACCTTATTTTGTTGCTATCCTTATCTACCATCAGTGTTTAATAATAGAGTGACTAAAATAAGTAAACTACCTACAATAATTAAATTTGTAATTCTTTTAGTAATAAAAAATAAAATAAAAACTCACTAAAATTAGAAGATTATCCAAGTGGTTTACTTTTTAGACATTTTTTTATAAGAAAATCTTATAAGTAGAATATTAAAGAAATTAAATATTACATAAAGCAAGTGATTTTTGTGAAAAAATAATTGTTGCTATTCCTAAAGACTCAGTTCGAGTACCATAAATACCTGAGGTGTGAACGCTCAATATCAAGAGATTAAAAATTATATTTAAACATATATTATCTTATATTTACTCTAAATTAATTAAAATAATATCGAAGAAAATGACAATCATGAAATCAATGAATATTTGATGAAATCCTTAAAGAATAATGTCATATGATGATCGTGTACGTATAACCTTTCTAATTCTTTTTAATGGCCTCTCATCCGAGGCACGTGGATGTTGCTGTAAGATATTAGCATACCATTGTAGATTTGTGGTTACATAATTCATTTAATTTTGTTATTTATTTTTTCTACAGTTTTGTTATCTGACAATTTAATTTAACTAATTCAAAATGATTTTTAACTTAAAATGTTATCATATTTAACTTAAAATATTATATAAATTTATAATATTTTCGGTTATAACCTAAAAATTACGATTTTGATAAGAATTTAAGTTATAACTGATTTCTATAATTTTCTAATATTATATTAATAATAAGTTATATTTTAGAAATTTTCGATAAAGGTAGATTTGTTATAAATTTAGAAAGGACAAGTATTGGTTTGGCAGGTTTGGGAAGGTTAGGTTAAGGCTGGAGAAAGGAAGATTCGAGGAAGTGAGAATAAGGGATGAGCCATTGTCTTGTGATATTGACATTCACCTTCCGCTTTCTTCTCTTCTTTTCACCATGATGCTGATTGTTTAAGGATTTTTAATTTTCAAAATGATTTTATTGAGATGAGGCTCAACTCAATCATCCATTCAAAGAATTTAGGATATCGCCGTCTATTTTCGTAATTTTATTTTGTTCATATAATTATTTTTTTTAAAAAGCATATCTAATATTATATTTGAGCTTTGTTTTAGTTATCCTTCGTTAAAATAAACAAAACTACGGACGTGATAAATTTTTTTCAATAAAGACGTGTTAATATCTTATGATGACATGTCAGTATCATCGTTAATTTTTTAAAGACAGTTGATTAAAACAGAATCAAAATATAACGTTCGGTATGATTTTGAAAAATAAAATAATTGAATGACCAAAATAAAACATAAAAATAGGTCGATAACATAATATGTAATTTACCTGGAGTTTATTTTAGTTGGTAAAAGGAGCAAGTTAGTGTTAATCTATTATTATTGAGAATCTTAAAAAAAAACTGTACAATAAACAAAGGGGGAAAAAGAAACGTTTCAAATCAGAAATAGATCGAGAGGGTGAGTGAAGACATACATCATTTTTAAAAATTTAAAATTATTATATATTTTAAATTCTTCTTATTTATTTTTATTAAAAATATAATTTCGTCCCCTTAAAATATTATAAAAATTTGCGTCCGTTCATACTTCGAATTACATGTAATATTCTTTTTAACAAAGATGCAGCACTGCAACCATTATTATTTAAAATTTACGATAAATTACACTATTATTCCTTTAACTTTTAGAATAGTTTCATTTTAGTCAAAAGTTACATTAACGTCATTTTAATTTACTTTCATTCTGATTATTATTTACTGTCATCTGACATATCCACGTATTTTTTTCTTAATCAATTAATGTATCATCTAATAGAATAACAATATGTATCATCATCTTATTGTTAAATTAAAAATTAAGAAATATTTACGTTAAATTGTAATTAAAATTAAATTTATTTTATGAAAATCTATCAATCATAATATAAATTATAAAATAATATAAATACATAAATTTATAAGATATTTTATGTTTTTATGTGTTAAAATACATTCTTATACTAATAACCAGTTGGTATAGTGGGATGAAACACTAGATTCTTTAAGCAATGTCAGGGGTTTGAATCCTGGCGTTTACGAATGGAGTAAACTAGGTTGGGAGGATTGCCCTCGTCTCTACAATACACGATCTGAATTAGTCGGTCAATAAATAAGATACTAGTGATTTATTCAAATATATATATATATATATATTGTTATATTATTTTATAATTATTATCAATATATTTTTATAAAATAAATAAAATTAATTTTAATTACAATTTGACGTAAATATTATTTTTATCAACATCATCACAATTTCTTAATTTGACCTGATGGTTAGACGTTAAATTCTCTCTTTAAAATCCATGGTTCGTTCACCATCTTATTGAAGTGAATAGTTTTATAAGGAAAATGATAAAATAACCTAAAAATTCAGGGACTATTGATGTAGTTTTGCTTTGTTTGTTCATTTTCTATTAAAAGCTTATTTGTGGGGTCATAAACAAATTTTCCTTGGCGTAAACTCTATCTATGACCACTTAATTATTAATCTTTTCCATTTTGGTCATTGCTTTCAGTTTTATCAATTAGATGATCTAACTATTTAATTGTTGCCAATCAAGTCATTGGCCCTTAATATTTGATGGAGATGCTTACATGGTAGTTAACAAAATAATTCTATATTTGATCCTCATTACTTACATATTCTATCAATTTACTCCTAATTTTAATTTAATTCAAAAATTAACCCTCTAATCAAGAGGTGACATATTTCCACAAATGTAAAAAAGAAACTCTAATTATGTCAATTTTCCTAACTATTGTGTCACATCTTCCGTTAAATGTTAACGTCCAGTGGCTTGATTGGCAACAATTAAATAGTTATGTAGTTTGATTGATAAAATTAAACGATTGGTGGTCAAAATGACAATAAACAATAGTTAAATAGTCATAAGTATAGTTTACCCACTTTGTTTTGTTGCATAAACACAGAAAACAAGATGAAAAACACAACTACTGGTCCACTACCTAGGCAGTTGAAGTTTTAAACTCAGTGAGAATAGAGAAGGAGAGGGAGAGGGAGAGGGAAAGGGAGAGGGAAAGGGAAAGGGAAAGGGAAAGGAACAATCAAAGACAATGAAAGAGATTCAGGTTAAAGTAGCATCCCAGAAACAGCCAAGTTCAGACATTGGATAGGAAAGTGAGCTGGGAAACGGGGTTTTCATTGTTGGTTTCCTTTTTCTTTTTTTCTTTTTGGATTTTACTCGTTGTTTAACACTTGTACTTGATGAGTGAATCAATAGTATCTCCTCTTGGCGGTTCCGTTTTCAATTTAAGTGCCGCATGTTGGGTTCTTCGGCTGTCTTCTTCTTAGGGTTTCTTAACGAACCTCATCGCCATCGTTTCCCATCATTCAAACGGCTTAACTCTCGGGGAGTTTTCGGTGTTTGAGTTAATAGTTTTACTAATGTCACAGAAGAGGCCCCAAGAAGATGGTAAGGCTCGACCCTCTGAAGCGTTTAGTCCTGATCAGGATAAACGGAGAAGGGTTCCCACATTGAGAAAGTACACGCCTTTCCTTTCTTACCTTGATTTTTTACCTTATTAATGCATAATTGGGTTTTAGGGTTGGGTAAAATTAATTTTTAAATTTGGTTGGTTGGTCCTCGTTATTTCTGTGTTTAATATGATTGAAAATTCTTAAGCTGAAGTGAAAACGTGCAAATGGATATTTTTATTGAGTTTATTTATTGGTTAGCGAAGTTGTTATTGGCAATTTGTAAAGTGATTAATATTACCTTTGTTAATGTTGAAACCAACTAGAGAACTGAATTAGGTATTTGTTTTTGCTTAATTGAGTATGGTTTGTCCTCATGGACTTCACTTTGTTGTGATTTGTTATTGTGAACTTTGATATGCTTTTTTGTTCAATGGGGTCTTTTTTTATTTTTGGATTGAACTTTGAAGTTCTATGTGGTCATTTATGGGTTTTTTCTTCCAATTTCTGAATGATATGTTAGTACAGTAAGAGATGATCAAAAGTTGTTATCTCACATGTACATGCTTTAACAATAGATCCGAGGTTCCGGAAAGTGTTGGTATATTACCATGGAGATTTCACTTGGCACTATATGTTCCCAGAAAGAAATACTTTATTCTTATATCTGAGGGGATAAATATGAGAACGAAATGATATTCATGGTCATAGAAATAGATTTTCTTCTCTTGGTGTTGGATATGGTGTGGTTTTTCTTGAATACGTTTTCGTTATCTATTAATTGAATCTCGCTTACACCTATGCGTGTTTTGTGATGATAGTTTAGTCCATCTAATATTATGCATCATTTTTACAGTGATTCTTTTGGTTGCTAATCTGTTTTTAAATGATGGTAGTGTGGTTCAGGAGGTGATGAAGTTGCAATCAGTCCAGCATTTGCTGGAGCCAGTTTTGGAGCCACTAATTCGTAGAGTGGTATGTTTCTTCCCTTCATCATGTTATTTCAAAAGTGCTCTTAAATTATTTATCATCTTCCACCATGAAACAGGTTTGATTTTTATTTACATAGTAAAAGAGATTTTTAATGAGCTTTCCTTTCTATCCAGCTTGTCATATTTTCTCATTTAACATCAAGTTACAAGTATATATTCATAATAGATATTCTCATGTGATGGTGCTTCACTGCCACAAAAAAGGTTGTAGGAAAAGGGGTCAATTCCTTTATCAAGCGTTGAAATCACACTATTTTCATGTCCCATGCTTAATGAGTTTTTCTTCAGCAGTTATTGTTTTCTATGCTACTTGGACTCGGGAGTGAATAATTTCTTATACAATTATGCATACAGCATTGACATTGGCATATTCAGTTTTTTCCTTAAGCTTTTCCTTATAATTGGAAGGTGTAAACTTATTACCCATTGTTGGAGAAATAAGCCAAAGCTTTAGGTCTTCGAGGGTGCACATCCAAGGGGCCTATACATACATGTTGGACACCACTTGAACCCAAAAACCTTAGGTTCTTGGATCCTTCATGTATATTTGTTAATTTTACATCCAACTTCTTAACTGGAGTGCGATATTACACTCACATGTGAACCTCAAAACCCACGTCTTCGAAAAAGAAAGTGTAGGACATGGGTATTTCACGAAAATATGGAGTCAGAGTGATATGTCTAGCACTATCTCCAACGGATTCAATCATTTTAAACTTCACATGGTTTATTGACTAACAACTTCGAAAATGAAGTGCAAGAACTTTCAGGTCATTGCATCTTTTCAGTTACTCTTTTATCCTTTTGGATCTTAACAGATGTCCAGATTCCAGATTTCCTCGCTTAAATCAAGAACATGATCTTTAATTTTAAAACTGTGGTATAATGCAAGTGGCATATCTCTTTCAAGTTATTTATTAAGTTCAAATTTCTTGTAATCTTATATTCAAATTTGGGCCTCTTCACCTATTGCCTACTATTATTAGGCTGGATGTTTAATATGATATGAGAACCTAGATGTGCTATGTTTTTCCTGCCTTAATCCATGTGAACTTGGCCATCTTCTTAACAGGAGTGTTTAGTGGTGTTAACCCCATAAGTCTAGGGTTTCCTATGATCTTATATTTTGGTTGGGCTCTCCACTTATGCCAATTAGTTTTAGGTTGGATGTTTAACAATATTATTGAAAATTTGTTTTCTGTCTAATGATCATAACATACATGTTACCCCATTAATATTTGTTGGGCTATGTGGACCTTAATGGATAGCAACAAAATGGTTGTGTTTGCTTCTATTGGGAACATATTTCCTCAGCTTAACTGTATTTTTCCTTATTTATGCACACTAGCTTTCAGATCAGATAATAAGCATGATAAAACAAAACCAAAGGTGTGAACTGAATTTGTCATAGTAAATGGACAGTTGCCCATTTAAAAATAATTTGAACTCTTGATACTCGATTCTAGGTCCGTCATACAGAATTGTCATTTATTCTTTTCAGTTCTACAAATTCTTTTGGTATCTTCACTCAACCTTTCTATGAATGTTTTTAATGAATTATTCTTGAAGCATGAAATGTTATATCAATGCTATTTTGCTTCATTGATGGCATGCTGTCAAATAATGTTGCGTTTTTATTTTTCTAAAGTTATTCTATTTCTTTGTAAATGGCAATGCTATTGTGTCTGACATCTAGTTTCGAAGTTTCTTTTTTTGGGAAAAGCCAGCAAAAACTTGTATTCTTATCTATCGGTGGCAAGCTCCCATAGTTTTTAGCAGTTGCTCTTTCTGCACAATACTTTTTTAAAAAGATTGAATATGTCAATTATCGGATGTACATTAACTATCCTATGTTTTGTAGGTCAGAGAGGAAGTTGAAGCGGCTCTTAGAAAGAATTTGAATAATATGAAAAGGTATTTTATTCAATTCAAAGAAGAATAGAGATTAGAAATATTTCCACTAGAAAGCTGTGTTAACTTCATAGTCTATGCTAAACCAAACAGTTGTTTTTTTTTCAAGGAATGGAGGGAAGGAGGTAAATTCTACCGAATCAAGAAATTTACACCTCCAGTTCTTAAATAATCTCTCTCTTCCGGTGTTCACTGGAGCTCGAATTGAAGCAGAAGAATGTTCTGCCATTAAGGTGGCCATAGTCGATGCACTTACTGGACAAATAGTTTCCTCTGGCCCCGAGGCTTCTGCCAAAGTAGAAATTGTAGTCCTCGAGGGAGATTTTGATGGTGATGAGGGGGACAATTGGACACTTGAAGAGTTTAAGAATAACATTGTAAGAGAGAGAGAAGGAAAGAAACCTCTTCTTGCCGGAGATGCATTTCTAACTCTTACTGAGGGAATTGGATTAGTGGGTGAGATATCGTTCTCAGATAATTCAAGCTGGACGAGAAGCCGTCGTTTCAGACTTGGTGCAAGAGTTGTGGATGGCTCTGATGGAACTAGAGTAAGAGAAGCAAAGATGGAATCCTTCATTGTCAGGGATCATCGTGGTGAATGTAAGTACTTATTTATTAATTTGTTTCTGATAAGTAGGTACATATTTATTGTATAGCACAAGATATATAATTTTTCAGGCCACGAAATCGGATGCTTGTCACTTTTATTAGTTGCTTAGTATAGTCACCAATTGATGATGACATCAAGATGTTGAATGAATTTTAATATCATTTTACTTCTTAACTTTCTCCACTTTTTTAATTTATTCTTAAACTGCAAAGATCAAAATAAGCTTCAGGATTCCAATCACAAGAAGAAAAATAAGGTTACATTGACCTTTTTTCTTTTTGTTGGCTGTTTTCTTCAGAATTTCTGTATGCATTGACTTGGTTGTTTGTAAGTCATTATGAGAATGAGATAGAAGCTAGAAGGAACTAAACTTTTGCTTTCTGGTTGCAGTATACAAGAAGCACCATCCTCCATCTCTTTCTGATGAAGTATGGAGATTAGAGAAAATTGGCAAAGATGGGGCTTTCCATAAGCGCTTGAGTCGGGAAAATATCAACTCTGTAAAGGATTTCTTGACCATGCTCTTCATAGATCCTCCAAGGCTACGGCATGTAAGATTCGACGGCTCTTTCCTTTTGTATGCTGCTTAGAATTTTTCTGGACTGTTTCCAGTTTCCTTGCATCTCCCTTCAAATGTCCTTTGGCAGTAGCATCAAAATTAAAAAGAAGACAAACTGATTCAGTTCAGTTACGTAACTGTGCCCAATATGTTGGTTGCTTCTTTATAGTTAGAAGGCTCTAAAATTTTATGGTTTTTAATCAGTTTTTAGACGGCCCTTAAGTTTGAGCATGTTCGAGTAGCTTTTCACAAAGGAACTCTGTTGTGTATGGTATGGGATTAGACCACAGGAATTTGTGCTGAATTTTATACCTCAAAAAAGTTCCATAGTTGGACATGTATCAACATAATCTTTTATTACATTTAATTTTAAACGTCTTGTAGTTTCTGTGCAGTAGACTGTTTGTGTTCATCTATGTTCAATTTGTACATCAGTTATAATGAAACCTAGCATCAGTAGAGATTCATGGTTTAAGTTATCGAGGTTTCATGTTGTCTATTAATCAACAATCAGGATTTTGCTGGTGTTAATATGCTAATAGCAAGAATATATGTTTATGCAGATCCTCGGCACAGGTATGTCAGCTAAGATGTGGGATGTCACCGTGGAGCATGCTCGAACATGTGTGATTGATAAGAGAGTGTACTTGTACTGCCCTCCTGGTTCTCTACAGAAATCCGGCGTAGTCTTCAACATTGTTGGACAAGTGACAGGTCTACTTTCGGAATGCCAGTATATTACAATAGATAAGCTATCAGAAACTGAGAAGGCACACTTGCTCTTATCTGATTTTGTTTTATCTATTTATTCATTTTGCTTATGTCATTAATGGCATCTGATTTTCTACTCCATCAGATTGAAGCCCAAAACTTGGTGATTTCTGCATTTCAACGCTGGGAAGATGTTCTTTCTTTCGATGATGAGGCGTCTCTTACAGCTGGTTTTTCGAATTTAGCTAATTCTCCATACACAAGCTCAGCGAAGACGGAGATTTCTAATGATACCAAGTATTTGGCTTCTCAAAAGATTGGTGGATTTGATTATGCACAATCAAGTTCTTCTCCGGATATCATTTCAACCATCTATTCAGTTGGGGGTATGAGCGGCTTAGACGATTATACGCTGCATGGTATCGAAAATATGTGTCTTAGATCATATGACCAAACATTGAGTTATCCCGGCCGAGTCGCTAATTCCCTGATATGTGACACAGATATTAGTCAGTCATTTTGCGATGAAGATCATCTTCGGTTTTTCGATAATGATCTCCAGTCCCAGAGCCTTGGTTTGGAATCACAAGTGGATCTACAAGCTGCCGTTGACGGATTCCTTCTGCAACGTACTGCTGTTAAAGCACAGAGGAGATGGACCAAGGTTTTCAGTGTGCTCAAATGGTTCTCCATTAAAAGAAAAGTTAAAGAAAAATTTCGTGGTCTTCAGATATAGCCATGGATTGCCATGTTTTTACCGATTCCATTCTTCGTGTGACTTTCAGAAAATGCAACCCTATACAGCCGCGCTACGCAGAATTTGGCTGATTATCTGATGTAAAAAAAATATTTTACTTCGGTTGATATATAAAAAAATAATTATAATACGAGAATTTATCCCAAAAAAAAAATAGAGTGCTTTAGACATGATTACGAGTAGAGATGCACAGAAGCCGGATTTCAATCCGATCCGGATCGGATAAAAATCGATCCGGTTTTTTCTCCCAACCCAAAAACCGGATTTTAAAAAAACCGGTTCGGATCTTAACCGGTTTGGAGGGTCGGATGGTGTAACCGGTGTAACTGGTTTCGGTTTGCAAAAAACCGGTTTTAAAAAAAAAACCGGATTTTTTCGGTTAAAAAACCGGTTTTTTAAAAAAACCGGTTTTTTATCCGGATAAAAAATCGGTTTTTTATCCGGTTTGAAAAAAATCGGTTTTTAATCCGGTAAAAAAACTGGTCATTCAATTTTTTTCTCAAACCGGTTATACTATCCGGTTTTTAAATATCCGATCCGGTTTAAAAAAAAACCGGTTTTTTCAAAATCCGATTTCGGATATTTTTTACCCAAAATCGGATATTCGGATTTTTTGTGCACCTCTAATTACGAGTGTAAAATATAGGATCAAAGGTACGATGCAAAGGATTGCCTGGTCTATTGATGTCTGGCTCTATGAACTTCAGCAGCCGAAGATTTGAATGGTAATCCTATGCAAGTAGGAAGTGTAAAAGTAAATTCTGCAGTGCTGCTGCTTATATTAACTGAAAGTGCTATGTTTGGAAATATACGTGTGCATACTTCACTCAATTTAATTGGATTTATCAATTATAATGGTTATTTAGTATGACATACATGCATAATTATCTTACATGTTAAATGAAATCTGTTCAATGAAACTCACAAATGTTGATAAAAACCTTTGAAAAAAAGAAGTCTAGCTTAACCCATCAGAAAGCAAGTGCCAGAACAAGAAATAAATTGCAATGCCAGGAAGATGATACCCAGAAAATAAAGAACAAATCTGCAGGTAATCAAGGACTATCCAGGAAGCCAATCTTGGAAAGCAGTATTCCCGAAGCATGTCTTTATAATTAAATATGACAATTACATTTACCATATATAGAAGTTTGGGATTTTAGATCGACTTAATACAAAATTAAGTGCCTAAATTTTACATCGAAAAATATTTTAGTACCTAAAGAAATTTTCGCTAAAAATAAGTATCTAACGTTTTCATCGAAGTTTTTTTAGATGTATGAACCGTAACGATCGTTAAATAACACATGTCATGTTATGGTAATTTTGAGAATTTATATTAAATATATAAAAATATTTTTTATTAAAAAAAACAACCAGCGTCCCCCCTTCTATTTTCTCCCTTCCCATTTCCCCTTTCCATGCTTGTTGACCGGCCATCCTTGACCGTCACCGCCACCTTCACCGGCACCGACGTCGACCCTCGACCATAATCCCGTTGACCTTTCATCGCAAAGTGCCAACGTTTTCCGTAGAGAAGCGTTCAAAGATTCATCGAATTTTAAGCCACTATCATTATTTTTCATCGATTCCGACCGATCTCGACATCCATGAGCCACACCGTCACCACCAATCGAACACCGTGCAATTCCAATCAAAACTCGAGTGTTCAGCAACGATAGTCGCCAGAGATGGCCACGACAGTTGGTAATAAGGGTTGAAATGAAATATTTAAATTTTTAAGAGTTTTTTTTATAATTTCATTAAAAGTTTGAGTTTTTTTATAAATAAATTGTACCAAAACGTTTTTCAAGGCATTGTTTAGTCACTTATTCTTGTATTAAGCCTTTAAGATTTGTACTAAATGTTTGACCAATTTAATATTGTGTATTGTGTGTGTGTGTGTGCAAGTTGGTATAACAAGGATAAAGTTTCACAAAAAGGTAAATATGCAAATAGTTACACTAAGACTTATTATCAGCCATTGATAGGAAACTCTAGCTCTTGCAATTGCTGTTGTCATTGCATATGTCAGCCTGTGAATAAAAAACGAAATAAAACGAAACAGATATGCGACACTGTGAGCATTAATACATGGCAATCACATGCCAAAATCGGAAAAATAAAAATATAAACAAGAAACACTTTTATTCTATTAATGTATTTCCTTTTTCTTCTATTGTTTTGTCATATTCTTCACCTTTATTTGGCAAAAGATGGAAAAGGTCAGAAAGGATTTTTAATCCACTGGCTGAGAATCATCATAACAAGGTATGCTATTGTGTAAATTACTTAAAGGCATTTTAATATAATTTCTCTTGTAATTCCTGATAAACCCTATGTTAATTACCTTTCAATTTGTCAATTTCATGGTCTTAGAATAGTTAGAAGTTTAAATCATTTTGCAGCCATCAGACTGGATTGGGAATACGATATTGATAACTTCGGTTGACTGGTAAAAGAAGGGACCACCTGGTAAAAGAGAAGTTTAACTGCCACAGGCATAGGTTATCACCGGCTACAGTAATGTTTCACATTGTGGTGTTCAAAGCATTTGCATAGGTTAGCTTTTAATAGATCTAGCGATTTTGGACACGAGACAAAAACATGAGAAGAAAATAACTAAATATGTCAAAACACAAACACGTCAACATCTCTGTCACACGAATTACTAGAGTTAGAACTCAAGTATATGATACCTTAGAAAATACAATGATAGTAAAACTAATATGAGCGCAACTTGAATACACGGATTATCCAGTCTAGCTTTTAATAAGCCACGCAGTTAGAGGGTTAGGACATTTTTACTTCCCAAAGGTACGATTATCTGAAAATCTGAGAAGAGTGGATATGGGAATAATAGCAGCTATCAATTCAATTATTTCAAAGACATCTGTTTGTGTTATGAGATAAACAAACATAGAAAAGGAAAACCATATAAGTTTGCCTGATAGAGCAAAAGCCAACCTCTTATGCATGTATGCTACTCAGCTTATCTATTTTGTTGTCAACAATAGAACCTTGAAACCTCATACAGTAACAGAATACATACCTTGTTCTTTCTTCTCATCTCCAAGACATCTTCTAATGGTGGTCGGCCTGAAACAAGAACAGGAACCATTAAAACATGACATACCTGTAAAATTTACAAGCCATCATTTAAAACTTCAACCAAAGAATAAAGAATCTAGAGATAGAATCGCATTAGCTTCCACTCTTAGTGCATTCATTTCAAAAGGCAATTGAGTTTGATATGTAGGTTAAGATGCAAGTGCAACCTGCAGCCAAATATTAATGGCACAAACTAACTAGACTTCACAAACGAAAGCTAAGAATGGAGTCTCAGAAATTCAGTTTCATTTTTTGACCTGAATGGAACTCAAAGTATATAGAATAGAGAATTCCAATTACATATATTTACCAGTAATTTGAAGACGATACTTAGCCCAAACACCATAGATGGAATCAGCAATTGTTGCAATCTGCAAGGCATGGATTAGGATTAGACACTGATGTGATCGCAAAAGGAGATATTTTTTGTTTTTCCTGAAACTACTAGTTCCAGAAAGGCAGGAGCAGATAATAGAACTATAATATAAGGAAGCATAAGCTTACAGGTTCATATTTGGTAATGGCATAAACCCATCCAAGACCAACTTGCTCATACAATTTTCTAAATGCCTGCGAGTCATCAATAACATAAACAATGTTTTAAACTTATTCTTCTAACGAGGAACAAAACTAAACTCAACTAAAAGAAGGAAATAAGGGGAAAAGGTCGCCGGATTCAATTAAAGAAATCTTTCTTTTTTGAAGACTCAATTAAAGATATTTTAAAAATATACTCTTTTCGACTAGTGCTTAAGTATAATAGCATCAGATAGCACTTCAATTAAACTCCTTTTGTACAAATAAGCACACCTTTTATGCCTACAGACTATGATGACCCTCCAAATACATGAAAAACCTTCAATTATTTTTCTAATGCACCCTATGTCATACATATATCCGTATCTGACACTCATGTGTCAAGCCTAAGTCTGAGCCTATACAAACTTGTAGTGATTACATACTAAAATCTGTTTCCATATCTAACAGCATCCAGGACTCCAAATTATGAAAGGAATACTGGTTTGCAACTTTTCAGATTCAATGCTTGTGTACCTAAGTTGTTTTTTGTTTTACCCACTTTATTACAATATTTGTTATCCTTTACTTCCATCTAGATTACAGTCTAACAACTTATAACGCTAAAGAACATTCTCCTCATTGCCACTTTTAATACAGGAGTGCCATTGTATAAATTAAGAAATATACCTCAACATCTGTGACAACAGTTCCATCAGAGAGAATGGCATGAATTCTTCCCATAACCTATAAAGAAAACATAAACAATACATACCATGTTTCTCAAAAGAATAACTCTTGAAATTTATGAAAAATGGGTTCAATAACCTTGGAAAAATTTAAAAGGTGGAAGGGATTTAAATTACGGTTGCAGCCGCGTTTTCGGCCGAGTTGCGTTTATCGTAGTTGTGGATATAACAGATGCTATTGCCGTCGTTGCGGATATTGCGGTCGTGAATTTTTTCTAAAGGAGTTGATTTTTTTTATAAAAATAGCTGATTTTTTTTTTTAATTAAAATTGCGGAATAACAGGAATAGCAGTCCGCTATTGCCTTGATTGGCCGCTATCCGTTAAATTGCGGCAGCGATCCACCACTATTGGTGTGATCACGCTTCACACCGCTATTTTCCGCGACAGCAGTTTCGGACACCGCAGCGATCGCAATATAGCGGCCACTATTGGTGGACTATACAAAATAGCTAACTTCTCATGTGGATTTTAAAAGATGTACAATGTGAACATACAGTTTCGTAGTCCAATCCTTGATTTTCTTCAGGAGAATAATCATCAGAACTTATGTCAACAAACTTGATAGTGCCATATTGCTTATTCCTCTCCCTTAGCATATCAACCTAGCAGCGAAATAAATTTCAACCGAGTGAAAAGAAGAAGAAACCCATCGAATATTATCAATCATCATAAGCAAAACATACACATGAAATATATGCAGTATGATAAACCTCACGCATGCAAAGCGGACAATCTCCATCATAAAGCATTTTAATCTTCCAATTTTGTTGGGATTTTTGTTCATTGTCTTCTTTTCCTTTCTGGGATGTTATGGTATCTACAGTAACTTCCTGTATCGCCCGAATCTGATTCTTGAATCCTGGAAAGAAAACGCACAGCAGTTGATAAAAAATCAAACTCCCACGCTCTTTTAAGAATATGATCAACAAAATGAATGAAAATTAACGCACAGTAGCTAAAGAAATGAATGAAACCCCAAAAAAAGATGATGAAAAAGTGACCCATCAAAATGAAGGGCAGCCATACCAGTTTTGTAGTTAGGAATAGCTGCAAATCTTTGGAGAGAACGGGAAGCGAAATGATGGGATCGTACCCTGAAAAATGGAGAAGATGAAAGGAGAAATGGGGTGGTTCTTTGTTTTCCAATGCAAGCACCAGCAACGGCAGCCCCTCTCAACGCCATACCGCTTATGGAATTGCTTTTTTTCTCCTCAAAATTCTAGCCATCGGTTTGTTTCTTCATCAACATTAAAAGCGACCACCAGCTTCTGTTGTAACGTGGCAATCGCATATTCACCAATATTAATACACATGGTTAGAAGACAGAACCCAGGAAGGCAACAGAGCTAGCGAATATGGTGGTAAATGTGTAGGGTCGGATCCGGCTAAATCGGGTTCTTTTGGGTTTGGTTTATTCTGACTCAAATAAGGTAAAATATCATTTATGTTTGAGTAAATTTTTATATTAATGTTTCAAAATTAACTATTTCATCATTAATATTATCCATTTATACTAAATTGATTACTTGCCCTAATCCGTGGACTAAGGGATGTAGGCCTAGGAAAACTGGAGATTTGTGGGGCTATAGCCCCTCATTTAAGAAAATTATAAGTTAGACTTTTAAAGACTTTTAAAAATTTAATTTCACGCTCTCAAAATTTTTAAAAATTCACATTAAATTTTAATTTTTGAATGGTCTTAGTTAAACCCCTCTCATAATTTTTAAAAATTCTTATTAAACATCTCAAGATTTCAAAAATTTTAATTATACTCTAATTCTTTGAAAAAAATATAAACTAATCTTTCAAAAAAATTTAAAAATTTTAATTCAAACTTTTGAATTTTAAGTTGGTCTCCTAGATTTTATCACCAAATTCATCCACTGATGACAGATAGTTGATATGGCAAGTAAACCTGGTTGACCTGGCACGGTTTCGTCACGTGAAATAGTCTTCTACCTTCAACCCTTCGTCATAATGAATGGGATCCTTGTTTTATAACAATTAAAGCAGTCGTCGCCCTTTCTATTGATGGAAACCACGACAGAGTCTTCCTCTATTAGATTAAAGATAATGACGAAGACACGTCCTTTTATTCTACGTAAACAATCCAGTTTTTTGGTCCACCACCATAAACCGAATGAATGACAGTGGTGTTGAAAAATTACTTGATAAGGTAAACATTACCATAATCTTCGATGTATGCAGGTGGCTTCAGCGACAATTAAGAGCTTTTTATTAGCCATTGAATATGTAATCCAATAGGCTCAGGAGCATAATCAGCAAAGAGACTATGAGAAGCTTCATAAAATATCTAAACTCATTCCAAGTAAACAAGACAACGATTTTGAACAATATGAAAACTAGCATTTCCCAATGTATTTCAGGTACTAATGAGATTCTCGAAAGCTTGTGTTCAGGCAATTCAAAGCCACACTAGGAAGCAAATGGTCTTGAAGCTTGTTGAATGATAAAGGTGTTGCTTATGTGTGCAGTTAGTTTTGTAGTTAGGAAGCTATTAGCAGTAGTTATTAACTGTTAGTTGTTAGCTGTTATGAGTAGTTATAGTGGTTGTAATCTCTTATATATAAGCAGTATTATAATTCAATAAATGATATGCATCTTGGTTTCATATTTCTTCAATGAAGTTATTTCCTCACATGGTATCAATCGCCATAAGTTCCTGGAGCTTCTTGGTTTTCTTGCTGCGTAACTTAGGGTGTTCTTGTTAGTTCATCGTGTTGTTAAGTGTAAAAGGTGATTTCTCAGTAGTTCTGGTATGATGTTTCTATTTGATTAACGGATCTTTATGTGTTTCTTGCTTGTTTCTCTACTGAGTGTTGTGATTCGATCTTCACTAACAAGAAGATCAATGTGGTGTTGGATGAAACAAACTTCTTGTTGTGGAAACAATAAGTTTTACTTACCGTTCGCAGTCATTGGCTTGAGCGTCTTCTCACCGATGGTATGCAATCTCCACCGGAGATGATTGTTGACGAAGATGGCAGTCTTGTTTCCAATGAAGCTTATGATGATTTTGTAGCCCAGGATAGTGCATTAGTATCGTGGTTACTTTCTACCATTAGTCTACATCTTTTATCTCAATTTGTGGGAGTTGAGACAGCTGCATCTATCTGGGCTACGATGTTGTAATACTTTGGAACTAGGTCTTCAACCTTGGTGATGAGTTTACATTGTAAACTTCAGTCTCTCAAGAAGGGAGAAGACAGTATGCGAGTCTACATTGCCAAATTCAAACAAATTTGTGATGCATTGGCTTCACGTGGAAGTCTGATTCCTCTTGTAGGACATATTACTAGCATTTTGAAGGGGTTACTGCGTGAGTATCAGTTGTTTATGGTTGTTATTTGTTAAGATTTTCGGAAGCTCGAATCGACAACCGAAACGGTTTGTAAAGAGGGGTCGGAACGGTTTTGTGTTTAGGGAGTAAGGAGATTGTAAGATAGAGAATTGCACAGCAATTTATAGTGGTTCGACTTTCTCAACCAAAGTCTACGTCCACTACCTTAGCTTCTCACCTAGGATTTTCCAACAAATTCACTAATTTGTTCTTTCTTTTGAGGATAAAAAGTAACCTTACAAACTCCCTAGTTTTTCCAGGCTAAACTAGAACCTTTCCCTAGCTTTTACACGGGCTAAGCTAGAACATTTCCCCTTTACAAAAGGATAAAACATGTAAACAAGAAAACCTCTCTAAGGTAGGTGTTTACAAGATTGAGCTCACAAGAACAAAATATTTATAAGAGAAAGATGAAATAAGATTGAAAAACTCTTCTCTTGTGTTTGATTGCTTGGATAATTGTTCTCTTACTTCTTCAAGTGTCCTTAGCTTGTATTTATAGCTTGGAATATGTTTGAAGTCATATTTAGCCGTTGGGGATGTTTTAGAGCAGTTTGGAGATGAGAATCCATTAATAAAGCAGCTTGGAGCTTGGGGGGAATCGGTACCCCTCATAGGGAATCAGTTCCCTAAGTATAATATGATTTCGACCGTTAGACAGGGGGAATCGGTACCCCCTGGGGGGGAATTTGTTCCCCCTGGGGGGGAATCGGTACCCCCTGGGGGGGAATCTGTACCCCTTGGACATTCTATTTTCTCGGAGCAAAAAACCTGCAGGGGGAATCTGTACCCCCTGGACAATCTGATTTTTCTTGGCTTTGAAACGGTTTGAAATACTTTGTAAAATTGTTTTAAAAATAGTTTAAGTATAAAACACAATTTTACACTTTAGTAAGGATTAAAATGAACTTTGAAAGACTTGGAGTAATATTTTGATATTCGAATAATTACATCGAATATACTTAGAAAAGCTTTTGTAAAATCTTAAAATTCATTTAACTTAATTTGTTATATCGAAACATCAAAATGTTTTCAACAATCTCCCCCTTTTTGATATAACAAAACATTTGAGTAATTTTAAGATTTTGAAATCAAGTTTGAAATTACTCCCCCTTACTTTAACACTTCTCCCCTTTAACACCTTAACACTTTTCCCCTTTGGATGGATCACCTATAATTTCACCATCCTTTACATAGTTGTACTCTCTTGGATAAGATACTTCCCTTTCTTCAATGGTTGGATTCTCGAGAGGATCATGAGTTTCCTCATCTTTTGTTTCTTACTTTGATGATGGTTCTCCAGCATCATGTCCAACGTCATTTATATTTATAATCCCTACATCATCATTCACACAAGAATCCTTCCTTGGAAGGAGATTATCATCGAAAACAACATGTATAGATTCTTCTACAACTAAAGTTCTTTTATTAAATACTCGATAAGCTTTAGAATTTAAGGAATAACCCAGAAAAATTCCTTCATCACTTTTAGCATCAAATTTGCCAAGATTGTCTTTACCGTTGTTTAAAACAAAACATTTACATCCAAAAGGATGAAAATAGCTAATGTTAGGCTTTTTATTTTTGAAAAGTTCATATGGAGTTTTCTTCAAAATAGGCCTAATCATTACTCAATTAATAACATAACAAGTGGTATTTGTGGCTTCCGCCCAAAAATATTTTGGCAAATTGTTTTCACAAAGCATGGTTCTAGCCATTTCTTCTAAAGTTTGATTTTTCCTCTCAACAAAACTCTCAACAACTCCATTTTGTTGAGGGATTCTAGGTTCTGAAAAATTATGGCTAATACCATTAGAATTACAAAATTTAGTAAATCCAAAATTTTCAAATTCAGTTCCATGATCACTCCTAACACTAGTTATAGAGTAGCCTTTTTATTTTGGATTACTTTTGAAAACGTGATGAATTTTTCTAATGCTTCATCTTTAGCATTTAAGAATAGAACCCAAGTATATCTAGAATAGTCATCTACCAAAACAAATGCATATTGTTTTCCACCCAAGCTAGTAGTTCTAGATGGCCCAAAATGATCTAAATGAATCAATTGTAATACTCTACTAATGGATACATCATTAATGGATTTAAAAGAAATTCGCTTTTGTTTTCCTTTAGCACAAGCATCACAGATTTTATCATTATCAAATTTTAGTTTAGGCAGCCCTAGAACCAAATCTCCTTGAATTAACCGTTGCAAAACACTCATACTAGCATGTTCTAGTCTCCTATGCCAGAACCAACTATCATGCTCATCCTTAGCAACTAGGCATAAATTAGTCATTTTTATAGAGTCTAAATGCACCATGTAAATGTTTCCTATTCTATGACTAACAAGCATAATCCGATTAGATGCTATGTCAATGACTTTACAACCCTTAGTTTCAAACATGACATTGAATCCCTTATCACATAATTGACTAATACTCAATAGATTATGCTTTAATCCATTCATATATAAAACGTTTTTAATTTGTATGGAAGAGGTATTACCTATTATACCTATACCTTCAATGTGACCTTTTGAATTATCACCAAAAGTCACTTCTCCTCCATTTTTGGCGTTAAGCTCTATGAACCGGCTTTTGTCTCCGATCATGTGTCTTGAGCATCCACTATCAAGGTACCATGAGTTCGAATTTGTTTCATGTGCCTTGTAGCAATGCTCCTTTTCCTACAAACATAGATTAATTTTTGATTTTTGGTACCAAAATTCTTTTGGGTCCATATTCATTAGTTTCCAAAATCCTAGTCCCCTTAGGTATCCATTTGTGTAGGATATCCTTATCTTTAGTAGTAATGAGTTCTTTTGGAACCCATATACTTCTAATGATTTTTTCATTAGAGGTTCTTCAGGGACCTCTATGATTGTAGTTTTTAAAACTTTTTCTAACAAAGTTGGTTTTTAAATTTTCTCCTTT